TGTATCTTACACACCTGAGTTTGTGGGCTGAGATGAATATTCTCCACACTTTCTTTCCTACCTCCTTTGCTCCTTTCCCATGCAGCCTTCCTGTATAAACTATGGTTTTTACTCATGCGAATGATATTTCTAAGCTTAGAGGGGTATGCATTTGCTTGATGTTGGGTACTCAGTTGGTTTTCAAAAGGGATTTCTCAGGGCAGTCCAAGGGCAATGATCTCAGGCTAGTCCAGGTGTGACACAGTGACAGACCTTCAGTGACTCCTGAGAGTTGGACAATGCCCCATCAACAGTGCCTGGGTAGACACTCTCCTGGCGATCCAACTTCATCACACTGCCAATGACTTTGATGTAACCAGAGGTGGAGGGGACCCAATAATAATGGAAAGAGGACAGATGGGAGCTTAGAACAGATTCAAATTTGATTTTGAGAAACATGAGAAATGCAATATTTCTTGAACCCAAGAGTTGTGGTGGTGAGATGAGATATGTCTGCACAGCTCATCATTAACAACAGTTTAGGGAGGAGTCTTTTTGTTTTATTTTTAAGGGGACAGGAGGAAAAAGTAATGTAAAATTCTCTATTTCATCCTAATAGAGATGTCTCCCTTCCAAGGGGCAATGATAGGAATGGATGAAATGCTTTTAAACTGGGTAAGCTTCCTTATGAGAAGATCACACTCTGAAGTTTTGGAGATTTGTATTCTCATCAGAGCCTGGAGGACATCCGTATGGCTCACCTGGCCAGAGGGGTGGAAAGAGTGTGGACTTTGATGTTAGTCAGCTCTAGGCTCTAACCCAGCTCTGCCCTGCTATAGATGTGTAACCTTGGGCAAGTGTCTTTACTTCTCGAAGCCTCAGTTTCCTCATTGAGTATAGAGGGATAATAATATTGACCTTATAGGGTGGTTGTTTGAGGAGAAGAGGTAATGTCTACACAGCACTTAGCTTAGTGGGAGCTCAATTGATGGCAACTGTTGTTCTTATTATTATTACTGTTTCATATGTAAAGCCTCTAGTGGAGAAGATGCTGCCTTTTTTGCAATCCCCTATTCTGACACCAACAGGAAGGCCGTAAGATGTTTTCATTCTACTTGGCACAGACCCCTTATGGCTGCTAGCAAGACATGATTGGTCGTTAGGTGTCAAGTCCAATTTTTTCAGATTCAAGGGGCAAAATATGATCAAGAGTCTCCTAAAATGCAGTGCAGAAACCCCAAGCTGCCAGCAGTAACCTTTTCCATGATATAAATAAATGCCATCAGCCTGGCCTAGTCTGTTTAAAACCACCAGCTTCCAATTATCCTGCAGCAGAGCTCAAAGCGCTGCCTTTTGGGAAGCCAGAAGTAATCACAGTTATCATTCTAAATTGCCACCTTTTCTATTGATTTCCTCATTATCATAGCACAACGGGGCTTGGCAAGAACTTGAGTTAAGAACCATTATTTCTACTGTGTACTGTTAGCTATTTTCTCCTTTCATGAAAATAGGGGCCACATGTGTTGTTGGCAAAAACATGAAACCTTAATAACAAAAGAACTGCCTTTGATATTGTTCTAGTTGAATGGCCGATCTCTCTGCTGTATTATTTCTCAAACCTTTTCTACTTTTTTGGTGGCTTCATTTTTAAAGTATATCATGCTGATGTTCTTGTCCTTTTTGGCACAACTGCCAACCCCAAATTACAACAAACAGAACCATCTAAGTTTTCATTCGTCCCACAATGAAATTTTTAGATGGTTTTGTTAAATTGAGGCATAATGGATGTGGGTTGTGGCATCTTCTTGCCTATTATTGATTGGAAGACCCATCCTGGTTGTTTACATTTTTCTCTCTGAAACGCAGATGTCTTTATGGATCCCCAGAATTTGGCCTCCAGCCAGAAGCGTCCAGGTGTTTTCAAGAATCATCTTTGAACGCGAGTGCAGTTTCTCTGAGACTCTGAGTTGGAGCACCCAGAGCACGCGCTTAAGGGAATTTCATGGAGTAGGAAGGGGAGACGATGAAGTCTCAGAACTGTCAGGGAAAAGGGCTATAACTAGTAGAACCCAATGAAAAGGAGAGAATATTTTTATATAATAATAATGACTACCATTTATCGAGTAATTTGATGTGCTAGGCACCATACAAAGAATTCTAATTAATACCAGCAAACAAGTATTGGGTACTTACTAGGTGCCAAGACATGCTAGGCATTTTACATAAATTTCATCCTCACTGCGGCCCTCTTCTCACCACCATTTTATTTATTTATTTATTTATTTATTTATTTATTTATTTATTTATTTATTTCCAGGACCCAATCAGCTCCAAGTCAAATAGTTGTTTCAATCTAGTTGTGGAGGAAACAACTCAGTGGCCCATGTGGGGATCGAACTGGCAACCTTGGTGTTATGAGCACTGCGCTGTAACCCACTGAGCTAACTGGCTGTCCCACCACCATTTATATTTATGGCTGAGGAATCTGAGGTTCAGAGTAGTCATCGCTGGCTAAGGTTATTCAGCTGGTGAGTGCCATTCTACTCTGGGCTGAGGGAAAATCCAGAGACATGATCAATGTATGAAGATCAGGGAGGATGAATCAATGACATCGAAGTCAGTGTGAATCAATATAGGATGCATTCAGGTAACTTTTCCCAGAGGAGAGACACTTACATGGTATGTATAAATGTGATAAGATTAGGGAGTTTTCTGAATTTCACTTAGAAAGTCCCTTCTTCCCCCATAAAGGTGGGCATTATTTAATGGACAATTAGTAAAATATCATAATTGTGGAAACTAATATGATTGTCATGGGAAAGTATTTTAAGGTGACAGATTTGTAAGGCTCAGCGAGAATTTTTCTAACTTTCTGAAAAACAAAAAACGTTGTTTGGACTCTAGACTGATGGGAGTGTGGCCAGTGGTGGCCCCCGAGTTGCCGACACTTTTTCAGAAGGCAGTGCTTTTTGAAGGTATCCAGCAAAGTTTCCTGATAGCAGAGGCAAAGTCGTATTCCTGAGATCTGAGCATTGCCCCCGAAGTTTTCTATTTTAGCTTAAAAATTATATTAAGAATTTTGCATTATTCTACCCATATTTCAGAAAATGGGATGCAAAAAAAGATGCCCTGTGTTCACCCTGTTTCCTTTATTGACTATACTCTGGGTTTGCATATCACAGACTGAGAAAGATGACCTTCAAGATCAACCAGTTCTTCTGATAATGTTTTATTTTCCCCAAATTGGCTTTACTTAGTAAAAGACCTTGTTGACCAGCAAGCAAGTATTCTGGCCCACCTGGTCATCCGGCTCCTCACTGCAGGTTTGTGAGTTAGTATTCATAATAAAGCAGTTGTGAGCTTAATCGGCAAGAGTCAGAGTCTTGGGATCTGATCACCCTGGAGCAAATGAACAATGTAGAAATTCTGTACCTGCCAACTTAAGGACAACGGCAGTGATGATGACCCCACCCAAGCAGAGCCAACCATAGGTTCACTTTGAAATGAACTTCAGTCTGTCCTGCTAATGCTTAATCAAGAGGGAAAGGTTAGGCTAGAGAATGACTTTCAAAGACAGGGCACTGACAGAGAGAGAGAGAGAGAGAGAGAGAGAGACAGAGGGGACTAGGGGAAGTGTCAAGGAAAGACATCTCAGTGACCTTTGAATCTGGCTCAAAGGAGAACAGTAAGGAAATTCACAATAGTGTGCAGGCTATGTAGTTACACAGCACAGCAGAAAATTTTAAAGTGCCAATGTAGTGTGTAGTGTGGACTTTGAGGGGGCAGGAGCTTGATTTTATCAAAAGGCTCCACAAGCCCATAGGTGTCCCAAATAGTCTACTGCAAATGAAAAATAATATGCATGAAGAGGCAGTGTAACACAGCACAAGGCAGAATGGCATGCTGGTTAAGAATATGGGTTCTGGTGCCAGACTGCCTGGCCTTGGGTCCTGGCTCTGCCCCTTCCTCGTTGTGTGGCTTGAACAAGGTCTGTAACCTCAGTTTCCTCATCTGTAGAATGGGGATAAAACTAGTACCTGTCTCAGAGGATTGTAGTAAGGACTAAATGAATGCGTTAACATATACATGACACCTAGATCAGTTCCTAGCAACAGCGAAACACTCAATAAATGTTAGCTTTTATTATGTAATTATATATTACAATGACAATTTATAAAGCTCTATTACTCAACAGCCCTTGGGATAGGCCATGAAATATTACAAAGGTGGAATCCATACATACAGAAAGCATTGTCTATTGTGATCTATGGCCTATACAACTAAGCCTGCTTTTATAAAAAAAAATATGTAGATGCTATGGTGATGAATGAAATGCAAACTAATTAAAATTGTTTAAATTATGGAAGCTTTTAGTTATTGGATGCTTTCTCAGATACTGAAGTGTAGTTACCACTAAATGCAATAATCATGACTAATACTTCTCTAGCATTTACTGTGTGCCTGGCATTCTTCCAGTACCTCACATATATTAACTCGCTTAATCTTTACAGCAACCCTAGGAAGTAGGTTATTTTTCTTATTTGTTCATTTCACCTGTAGAGAATTTAAGCAACATCCCCAGGTGACAAAACTAGTGAGTAGTAGAGCTGTGATTCAAAGTCAAAGCCACCAGCCTCCAGAGCTTCCGCTCTGAACCACCAGGCTACACGGACCCCTAACATGCAGCTCTGCGATGCGTTTTGACATTTAAAATGGGTCCTCACAGTTGGAAATGTAGGAAACCACCTGTGCATGAAGAATGAGGTCAGCCCTGCACAGGAGGGATAATAGGAAAGGAAATTCATCCTAAAATGTATTACAGTGGGACATAAGGGCTTCCTGTGTGCGTGCACCCACAGGACTAAAAGGCGTAGGATGGAGGATGAAATGAGAGTGGAGCAAAATTCATCTCCAAATCCCAATGTGACTTATCACTAGAAGGCCCCACTCTGAGACCCCTGTTGGAACACCCTGGGCAGGACTGACCTCGTGATGGCAGGCAGGCGAGACGTGCGACTTACCGGCCGGGGCAAACTGTACTGGTACATTTCTGGGCGGTAGGTTGGCACCCACTGCACTCCTGCCCTGGGCCGTGTCATGGTCCCAGGAGCGCTGGTCACCACCTCTGAGTAGGGCAGGTGCTGTGTTGAGCCGTAGGCCTCCTGGTGCCGACTCTGGCCGGCGTGTCCCGCGGATGCCAGGCTGAAGGCCTCTTCCAGCAGCATGTGCATCTGTTGCCTGACCTCATCGATGGAGGGCTGGGAGCTCAGCGTGGAGGTCTCCGAGTGACCTTTCATCTGCCTCGATCTGCCATAGCCCCTGGGCTCATTAACTCTGTCAATGTTGGTTTCCTCTATGATTTCGGGCTCAGTCTGTGGGATCAAACAAATACCCATTGATTTGTTAATGAACTTTCCTTCCTGTGAATGCTGCCTGTAGGTGCTCCAAAATATTCAGCTCAGAGAGGTGATATTAGGCATATGTGCTAATTTAAGTTATATCCTAGGTGTCCTATCCAGGAGTGCACACAACCTGGCTTTCTATCCGTAAGGCCACACTCCAGGATCCCTGTGCACTTCAGTTATCTATAGTTCAAGCAATGTCATAAGCTTTGCTAATTAGCATAACGATTATCTATAGTTCAAGCAATGCCATAGGCTTTGCTAATTAGCATAACGACCATGAGAAATATCTTTCCATTGTCGATATTAACTGTATTCTCTAAAACCTTTTAGAGACATTCTTTGCTCTTATGCCTTTTAGGTAAATGAATCTAGAGCAGCAGTCCTCAACCTGTGGGTCGCGACCCCTTCGGGGGTCGAACAACCCTTTCACAGGGGTCGCCTAAGACCATTGGAAAACAAAAAGATATTTACATTACGATTCATAACAGTAGCAAAATTACAGTTATAGAGTAGCAACGAAAATAATTTTATGGTTGGGGG